AAAAAATTAGCCAGGCATGCTGGCGCATGCCTGTAGTCCCAGCTACCTGGGAGGCTGAGGCAGGAGGATCGCTTGAGCCCCAGAGTTTGAGGTTGCTGAGAGCTAGGCTGACACCACGGCACTCTAGCCCGGGCAACAGAGACTGTGTCTCAAAAAAAAAAAAAAAAACCAAAGACCACATAACAAAGTCCACAGTGGCCTTGTGGCCGTGAGCATTGGCAGCTCTGGGGCTGGCAAAGGTCAGGGTTGGGGGGTGTCACCCACTGCAGCCCCCTAACCCCAGGCCCCACTGGGGGCCTCTCTTGACCCTACTCTGAGGCAGAACCTCCTCCTCTGTGCAGGATCTTTGGCCCATCCCCGCCCCCAAGCCAGCCTTTGACCCCGCTGTTCCCCATTCTGGGACTGGCCTCCCCTTTGGACCCAGCCTAGCGAAACTGCCTCTGGGAATCTCCCGGGTGCCCAAAGGCGTCCCTCCCAGCCTGGGCCTTAGTTATTGCTGGTCAGTCTGGGGTGGGCAGGAGGTGAGAGAGCTCTTGGCCTCGGAGGCCCAGAGTCTGCGCTGGGTCTGCTCTGAGAAGTTGCACAATCAAGGTCAGCTGAAGGAAGCCACAGCCCTGTTTTCCCATCTCAGAAATGGGGAAGCGCCCTCGGCGGAGGTGAAGGAGGTGAACCAGGCCTAATGCGGGGCAGGGGTTGGTCCTGCAGCCCACATGTGGCAGCCCTGCAAGTCGGACACAGCAGGTGAGTGGAGACTGGAGGCAGAGCCCAGGGATCGGCCCCCTCAGGGGGACCCCCCTCCAGCTCCTCCCCCACACTCCTGTCTGGAGGTCCTGGGTAGAAAAAGGGTTTCCATGGTTACAGAAGTTCCCTTTAGAGGGAGAACACAGGAAGGGAACTTGCTAGGTGACCTTGGGCAGATGACTGGTGCTGGGTGTCTCTGTAGAAGCCAGTGACTGCCCCCACTCTAGAAGGTTTTCTGGGGGCCTGGCCCAGTCCCAGACACTTAGCTCCCTGGCTAGCAAGCGTTATTGTTATGCTAATGATCATGTCCAAAAACTAAACAAAACAAAACAAGCAGCTGAAGGCGTCTGTGGGTGTCGCTGGAGGTCACTTTGGGGAAGTGGTTGAGTTTACAAAATAACCCATGGGGAAGTTACAGTTTAAGAAATATCCCCAAATTCCTGCCATCGTGGCCCCCCTTCCCAGTCATCCTGGGTCCCCCACCACCACCACCACCAAGGTTCCAGATGGCCGCTTGGTGCTTTCCAGAAGACTCTGCGCGAAGCCATGTTCCCAGTCTCTGGACAGAGGCCCCAGGAGTCCTGTCCCTAGAGCAGGCTGACCACAGCAGGTATGTGGATGTGGGCAACGGCCTGCAGAGCAGTCCACACAGGGCTGGGGCCAGGCTATCCGTGTCGGGGAGTGTAGACAAGGAATGAACCTTAGAAAACAATGGCTGAGGACGGGCAGTGGCTCACGCCTGGAATCCCAGCACGCTGGGAGGTCAAGGTGGGAGATTACTTGCAGTCAGGAGTTTGAGCCAGCATGAGCAATACTAAAAATAGAAAAAATTACCCGGGAGTGGTGTCCCGCAGCCTATAGTCCCAGCTACTCAGGAGGCTGAGGCAGGAGGATCACTTGAGCCCCGGAGTTTGAGGTTGCTGTGAGCCAGGCTGATGCCACTGCACCCCACCCAGGTGACTGAGCAAGATCCTTTCTCAAAGGAAAAAAAAGAAAGAAAGAAAACAATGGCTGGAAAAGTCTTGGGGAGACAGCAGGTGACAGAGCACCTGGAGGAACACTGCCCATTTAATCTACAGCGGCCCGGGAGGAGAGGTTGCAGCCTGGCCCAGACGCACTCCTGGTGGGCAGCCCTGGCTCAGCAAGTGCCCGGGCTGCGCGGAGTCCGCTCCGGGGCCCCGGCCCTTCCCCCTCCCCGTCCTGCGGCGCACAACAGCGCTCCACGCCCGCCAGCCGCGGCCGCCTCGCCCTCTGCTGCGGGCGCGGATCCAGGCCCAGCCGCCGGGGCCGCCCGGGCGAGCCTGAGTCCCTGGTGGCCGCGGGGGCCGGGATGTCTCAGCCCAAATCCGGTCTGGTCACGCCCGGTCACACCTGGTAATTAAGGAGTCGGCCGCGGGCGGGGCCGCGCCTCGGGCACCTGCGCTCCCGGAGCCGCACACCTGGCGGGGCGCGGGGCAGGGTAGCGCTGGCGGCCCACACGTGGCACGGACGGGACGCGCTGCCGCCGCACAGGGGAGTGGAGACGCAGCCCGGGACCGCCCGGCTCTGTGCGCGCCGCCCCACCAGCCCCGCGCGGGGGTCCCGGCGCCCCGGCCGGGCGCGCCCCACGCGCGTGGCACGGCGCATGCGTGACGGGCGCGCCTGCGCACTGGCGGCCGGGGCGCGT